GATTTTTTTTCTCTGTACAAATAAACATATCAGTTTGAAGCATATGTTCTGACGTTTGATCACTTGGACTTACTGAAATAGTTGTCTGGTATGGTTCAACCTAACCTTTACACACGTTTATTTTACAAACATTTCTTTCTATACCTTGCTTATTTCACCTGCTAGTATATCATACTTTAGTGTCTGTTCATACAAATAAAGTAATAAAAACAGCTCACAACTTTTGTTAAGCCATGTACAATGCACCAGGTGCTATAGTAAACTCATTTTTTTTTAAGATTTATTTATTTATGCATACAAGAGCTGGGTTACTGGCCAGAGGTGCAGAGGGTGAGAGGATCCACTAGAGACAGAGTGGGGAACAGAACAGGCAGATTGACCGAAGTTATGGCTGAGGGGAATGGGCGAGTCAGGAGAGGTCTGCTGCACCATGTGGGTTGCTCCCTGGCCAGCGGGGGATCGAACTTGTACTGCAGAAGTTGCAGGCAGCTTCATAGGTTGCGTCTTAACCCCTTGTGCCACCAGGGAGGCCCTAAAATCTTCATTTCTAAAAAACTGTGTGGAGCACATTGTTATCCTCATGGAGGAGAAAACTAAGGTCTTGGAGAAGTTAAATTACTTGCCCATGAGCACACATGTGGCAGAAATAAAATCTATTCATGCATGCTTAGGTCCACAACATGTGTAAGTCCCCCACTGAAGAAGCCTCAGGCTATCTGTAAGTCTTCATATCACAAAAATGCTTCGGTGAACGTTCTTGTGTGTGTGGCTTTGCATCTTTGAGCATCTGTAGATTGGTAGATTACCAATGATGGGGCAAAGGCCATGCCCAAATTTAAGTTTGATGGATTCTAGTCCCCTAGCTCAAAAAGATGACCAATTCATACTCACCGGTATTGTATTCAAGTCCCCATGTCTCTATAGTCTCTTTTTTTTTTATAGAGGCATGTTTTTATTTATTTGTTTGTTTGTTTGTTCATTTATACATGCACTGGGTACAGTCAGAAGCGCGGGAGGGTGAGAGAATTCACCAGAGCCAGAGCGGGGAGCAGAGCAGGCAGAAAGACCGAAGTACACTGCTGAGGGGAGCAGCGGGCGGCAGGAGAGGTCTGCGCGCCTTGTGGGACCCTCCTCCGGTGGCCGGGGAGCAGCCGGGGATCGAACCGGCACCGCAGAGGCCGCGGGCAGCTTCGCAACCCAGCGTTCAACCGCTGCGCCACCGGGGAGGCCCTCTATAGTCTCTTTTTTTTTTTTTTTTTTTTTTTTTTTAAAGATTTATCTTTATTTATTTATTTTATGTATTTATACAAGCATTGGGTACAGTCAGAAGCGCGGGAGGGCGAGAGAATTCACCAGAGCCAGAGCAGGGAGCAGAGCAGGCAGAAGGACCGAGGTACACTGCCGGGGGGAGCAGCGGGCGGCGGGAGAGGTCTGCGCGCCATGCGGGACCCTCCTCCGGTGGCCGGGGAGCAGCCGGGGATCGAACCGGCGCCGCAGAGGCTGCAGGCAGCTTCGCAACCCAGCGCTCAACCGCTGCGCCACCGGGGAGGCCCCCTCTATAGTCTCTTTAGTGCTCAATATTATTAGTCTTTCCATCTTTGTCAATTTGTTAGGTTAAAAAAAAAAATCACTCTCTGGGCCTCCCTGGTGGTGCAAGGGGTTAAGATGTAACCTATGAAGTTGTCTGCAGCCACTACAGCACAAGTTTGATCCCCGGCCAGGGAGCTAACCCACATGGTGTAGCAGACCTCTCCTGTCTTGCCTACTGCTTCCCTCAGCAGTGTATTTCAGTCAGTCTGCCTGTTCTGCTCCCCATTCTGTCTCTGGTGAATCTTCTCACCCCCCGCACCTCTGGCCTATACCCCAGTTCTTTTAAGCATAAATAAATAAATCTTTTTTAAAAAATCACTTTCTATACAGGACAGGAGCTATCACTTGTTCTATGCTGACCTGAGTTCAGCATGCCATGTATATTATCTCGCTCCAATCCCTGTTTTACTGACAATGAAACAGACTCAGAGGATGAAGGGGTTTATCCAAGACCCCACCACTAGGTAGTGAAGATTCCCTGCCTTCCATGTCCCTTCCCCTCACTGAAGTGTATCCATTAGGCTGGGGTCATGCAGGAAGCTTAATAAAGTACTGTAGAGACTCGAAGAGGTAGCACATGGAAGTATGTAAAACCCTTAGAATAATACCTATCGTATCGCTTCAGAAGTGGCTTTTTGGCATTAGTATTCTGTCATCATCCTGGATTTCAAGTGTGAGACATTGAGTCAGCGGTACCTCTTAGAGGGGGTTAGTAACCTATGGTTACTAATGTATTTGATATTATCTGGATATAAGTTATAGAAACCAAACTCAGAATAGCCTAGGGGAGATGTTATTTATTGGCTCATATAAACAAAACCCCAAGCATAATTTGGCTGTCAGCATGCCTGGATCCAGGTCCTCCAGTGATGACTCTATCCCTCAACTCTGCCTTTCTCACCGATGGCTTTATTGTTAAGCAGGCATTTCCTGCAAATGGACAAAAATGCCAACTGCATCTGTCCTCTAAAGCTTAACAATCCCAAAACAAGAGTATACCTCTTTTTTTTTTCCCTAGAGAAAGCAGAAATCCTAGGACTATTTCTTTTTGGTCCATATTTGGTCATGTGTCCATGCTTGAACCAATCACCACAACTGTGATGGACCCAACCTGCATCCAGGTGGGATAGGAGTACAACTACCACCACCACAGGTATTGAGAGTGTGGGAGAGAGGTACTTCTCAAAGGAAACTCAAACTCCTTATGAAAATAAGGAAGAAACTTCTGTCCTTTGAAGAACAGAAAATGACAGAACCAAAGATGACATGTGAGATAATTTGAAGAGTGTGGCAATGAGGCCCCCAGAAGGAAGTAAGAAAAGAGAAACACTGACCCCCTTGATGGACACCCCCAACTTCTCACTTTACCAAGCTGAACCTGAGACCCAGGAGAACATTAGGGACAAGTCTCAATCCTTTCTCCCCCTCCCCACCTGGATGCAGGTTGGGCCCGTCACAGTCGTGGTGATTGGTTCAAGCATGGACACGTGACCAAACATGGGCCAAAAAGAAATAGTCTTAGGATTTCTGCTTTCTCTAGGACAAAAAAAAAAAGAGGTATACTCTTTTTTTTTTTTAACTTTTTTTAATTAATTTTAAATAAATTTCCTTTTTTTTTAAGATTTATTTATTCATTTACACAAACACTGGGTATAGTCAGAAGCACAGGAGGGTGAGAGAATTCACCAGAGACAGAGCAGGGAGCAGAACAGGCAGACTGATGAAGTACACTGCTGAGGGGAGCAGTGGGCGTGGCAGAGGAGGTCTGCGCACCATGTGGGACCCTCCCCTGCGGCAGCCAGGGATCAAACCCGTGCTGCAGAGACTGCGGGCAGCTTCGCAGCCCAGCACTCAACCACTGCGCCACGAGGGGAGGCCCAAAAGGTATACTCTTGTTGTGGGATTGTTAAGCTTAGAGGATAGATGCAGTTGGCATGCACACACACCAGGTCCTGCCTCAGCAACTAATTCCAAGTCAACTGCTGGTAGCAAAATATCCCTTAAATAAAGCATTTACAGACCGCCTTTGGTGTGCATAAGAGGACGTAGGTGCTGTGAGACTTAGAGATGAACCTTGTCACCCAAGTCCAGGTCAGAATTACTAAGTCAATATTCTAATGAGGATGCATCCTTCAGGGCCATGCACACTTGGTTCCAACCTCAGCGCTGCCATTTTCTCTTAATGACTCCAAGTCTGTACATTCATGTGAAAACAGGAATGGTAGTGTCTGTGTATCACGGTTGTTGTGGAGATGAGACGTGGGTCACATAAAGCACCACACATGGTGGCTGGCCCAAGCTGATAGAGCCACGGTTTCTTAATCACTCATGCCGCCTGGGATACATACGATAACAGAATTACTAAAAGGCAGTTTTATATTTTCCTGATTTCTGTATTCAAACGTTAACCTCTTTGTGCTAATGTCATGGATTTGTTAACCAATCCATTTCTCCTCCACACTGTCATGGCTGCCATCCCTTCTAGACCTTGTCCTACCTATCCAACCAATCATTTTTTTTTTAAAGATTTATTTATTTATGCATACAAGAACCGGGGTACAGGCCAGATGTGTGGAGAGTGAGAGGATTCACCAGAGACAGAGTGGGGAACAGAACAGGCAGACAGACTGAAATACACTGCTGAGGGGAGCAGCGGGAGAGACAGAAGAGGTCCGCTGCGCCATATGGGCTGCTCCCTGGCCAGCCGGGGGATCAAACTTGCACTGCAGAGGCTGCAGACTGCTTCATAGCACGGTGTTCAATCCCCTGCGCTACCAGGGAGGCCCCCAACCGATCATTTTTGATGACCCTTTAAGCCCTCTCCAGCTCCCTTCCATCTTTTGAGAGGGATGAAGTCCCACAGAGCAGACATACCCGGGTGCTAGGAACACTGCAACCCGAACATGGTGTTCGATGCAATTGATCACAATTCGGGGTTTCTGACCCAGGGTGGCAGTCTGCCTCCCTGCAACAGCCCAGCCTCACAGGAGGCACTTGGGCTTGGGATCTGCGGAGTTGGATTTGAATTCCAGGCTCTTGCTCACTGTGCATCCTTGGTCTTTGGGCAAGTTGTCCTTGCCTGCAGAAAATGGACACCCACACCTAATGAGTGGCTATGGACATGGCTCTTTGGGCCTAACTCCCAGCGCTGTGTGACCTCAGGTGAGTCACTTAACATCTCACAGTCTCAGGAGTTTTCCCTTCTGTAAAATGGGGATATTAACAGTTGTTGGGGGCATTAAATGCTTAGTTCAGTGCTTGGTGCATAGTAACCGTATAAATTTTAATTATATTTGAACAGAATAGTGTGTGCAGAGGACTTAGCCAGGAGGGGTTGGTGATAAGCAGGGAGGTGGGTGCAGTCTTTGGCCCAATTTTGGTTGGGACACAGCACCACCACTCCGCCTCAGGTGCTGTCCCACAACCTGTACACCGTCTTGCACATCCCCCACGACCCCGTGGCATTGGAGGAGCACTTCCGAGATGATGACGATGGCCCTGTCTCCAGCCAGGGATACATGCCCTACCTCAACAAGTACATCCTGGATAAGGTGGGCCCAACTTGCAGGGGGTCATCTCTCACCTCTCCCCACTGCCTTGCCTGCCCAGCACCTCAATACATTGCTACTCTAACTCTGTCCCCCTATAAACTCCTGCTTCTGTCCCTTCTGTTTGCCCCTCTTATCCCATGCCCATCCTTCGTAATCCAGCTACTTGTTGCCTTCCTTGCTACCCTTAACTTACCTTCAATTTTCTTCTTCTTTATGCTGGCCGCTGCCTTTCCCATAATCTTCACCCTACCCCTGCTTAGGCACACCCCCAATGTCCAGCCTGTAACCTTTACACAAGTTTCTCCAGCTGCCTCCTCCCAGTTCTTCTCAGATTATCTTTGACTACTGTCTGCTCCTTCTTGGGCTTCCCCATCTTTCTCCTCTGGGCTGAGGGACGAGAATTTCTTTGTTGATAGACACTTGGGTGGGTGTGGATTTTTTTTTTGGGGGGGTACAGCGTGGTTGGAACCAACTGGTAATCAAGTCGGGGATTCCTTAAGTTAGAGCCTGTCTTGGAGGGGTTGTGGGGAGGGAGGAGAGAGCAGGGTAGTATATGACCCCAAGAAAGCAGCTGGAGCCTAGGGTGGTGGTAGGGCGTGGACGGGGCAGCCATCTTGCTGACTTTCAGGCCTGGTGGCAGGTGGAGGAGGGGGCTTTTGTTAAGGAGAATTTTGATGAGCTGTGCTGGACCCTGACGGCCAAGAAGAACTACCGGGCAGATAGCAACGGGAACAGCATGCTCTCCAATCAGGATGCCTTCCGGCTCTGGTGCCTCTTCAACTTCCTGTCTGAAGACAAGTACCCTCTGATCATGGTTCCCGATGAGGTGAGAGTGATGGCAGCTCCAGGGAGTGAGTCACATGGGGACAGGCATCGGCCAGACCATGAAGGCCAAATTGACTCTATACTTTCCCACATCCCCTTTTTGTCTCACCATATCTCTTCACACCCAGCTGTCTCCAGATGCCTAGATCTGCCCGTATTAGAATAGCTGTGCCTTCTTCTAGGAGAACTACACTTGTATTTCCATCAGGGTTCCGTTGTTAGTCCTCACCATAGAAAAATGATGTGCCAATTATGTTTACACAGAGATGGGAATGACTGATCTATTACTAGGCATTTTTTTAAGATGTCTCTTCATTTATTTATATCTTCTTTAATTTCTTTCAGCAGCTCTTTTTTTAAAAAAAAATATTTATTTATTTATGCACACAAGATCTGGGGTACAGGCCAGAGATGCGGGGGGTGAGAGGATTCACCAGAGACAGAGTGGGGAACAGAACAGGCAGACTGACTGAAATACACTGCTGAGGGGAGCAGCGGGTGAGACAGGAGTGGTCTGCTGCACCATGTGGGTAGCCCCCTGGCTGGCCAGGGATTGAACTTGTGCTGCAGAGGCTGCGGATCACTTCATAGTGCGGTGCTTAACCCCTTGCGCCACCAGGGCAGCCCTATTACTAGGCATTTTTAAATGAAACTTTTAAGATCACATGGCAAGATTTTCGGCACTGTGGCAATCTGCAAAGGGTGCCAGACAAGGAGAAGGGAGACCTTCCTGGCCCATCTCTCCAGTTAGTCCTAGTGGGCAACCAAGTCTGGCCCTGATTCTAGATTTCCTCTTCCTGCCTTTAGGATAGGGAAGAGCCTGGGCAGACTCCACCCAGGGACCCAGAGAGGTCAGCCTGGGAGTGGAAGTTAGAATCTAGATCTTCGGCGGAAGCCAGGGTGACTGCCCACTTTTCCAGCTGACCTATAGTCTTCCTCAATCCTCCTGTCCATTCTATTTTCTCCTGACCCTTTAGTCCTCTTGGCAGCCTTGAAGATGTCAGGGTACATAGGGCCCACAGGGAAGGGGGCCTCTGTACAAGGGCCTGATGTGTATAATTACACTCAGATTTGTGTCCTTGCTTCTCTTTGTGGGAAGAGAGAAGCCACCTAAATGCTAAATTGTTGTGCCCCCCTACCCCAAGCTGAGACCCAACTCTAAGAAGTAGTTTTCCAAAAAGTTGCTGGGCAGGAGAGGGGCATGTGTCCACAGACAGCTCACTGTCTATCACAGTTAGGTGGCCTCTCAGAAGGCTGCTTGCTCTGTGATTAACACACAGTGAGAACAGACTGCAGCAGGATATACCCCAACCACCACTTCCTGTCCCTTGGTAACAGACTTCCTGTACCTGCTCAATCCCCGCCCCCAATGCCCTCGCCCTCCCCTAAAGGAAAGATGCCCAGATTTAGGGAATGGGGCTTGGAATAAGAACTCAAATGTAATTCAAGAGATCTGAATCAAGCTCAGACTGCTGCTCATTTACTGTGTGACTTAGAACGAGTGACTTAGAACGAGTCACTTCTCCCTTCAGGCCTTGGTTGTGTTACCTGCAGAAGTAAGTGTATCGGATGAGCTGGTCCTTGCATGTCCTCTGACATTTTCTATGACTTGTCTCTGCCTGGCCCCAGCCCTTAGTTACCACCTTCACTCTGCCCTTAATTTAAGAGAGGAAAAGGAGCAAGACTGCAGGATGGGAAGAGAGAATGGAGGCCTCAGTTGGGGTTGAAGCTCCCAGAACCCTCTCCAGAATCTATACCTTGGTCTCTAGCAGCATTTAGTCCCAACCCCCTACCCACATCCCCCTGTCCCTGGTCACCAGGCCCAGAGCTGGGAACCAGGTGAGAGTGCCCCCTGGTGGTGGCTCTGGCAACACTGCAGCACTCGCTCACTTCCTTCTCCCTTCTAGGTGGAATACCTGCTGAAGAAGGTGCTCAGCAGCATGGGCTTGGAAGTGGGCTTGGGGGAGATGGAGGAGCTGCTGGCCCAGGAGGCCCAGAAAGCCCAGACGACTGGGGGCCTCAGTGTCTGGCAGTTCCTGGAGCTCTTCAACTCGGGCCGCTGTTTGCGAGGCGTGGGGCGGGATACCCTCAGCATGGCCATCCACGAGGTCTACCAGGAGCTCATTCAGGATGTCCTGAAACAGGTCAGGCCAGGTTGGGAACTAGGGGAGGACTCCAAGGAGGAGTAAAGAAGTGACTGGTGAAGCCTCTGACTTTGCTTTGACTGGCAGGGCTACCTGTGGAAGCGAGCGCACCTGAGGAGGAACTGGACAGAACGCTGGTTCCAGTTGCAGCCCACCTGCCTCTGCTACTTTGGGAGTGAAGAGTGCAAGGAGAAAAGGGGTACTATCCCGCTGGATTCGCAGTGCTGCGTGGAGGTGAGGGGGGCAGGCGAAGCTGGAGGATGACTCAGGGCCCAGAGTGTCCCCAGTGTGTTGTGAAGGCAAGGGGGTGTCAAAAAAGAGGGCAAATGGAAAAAAAAAGGCACAGTGGCACGAATTTCTGCTTAGATGAGTATAACACAAATATAGTTGGGCGCCTGAGGGCCATTGCCATCCATGTCAGCACTTTTTAAAAAAAAAAAACTGGAACTCCAAATCAAAGCCACTGGTGGATAATGTGGATTTTGCAAAAGATTCGAGAGGTGATGACTTACTTAGGTCTCTTACTATGCAGCAAAACTTTTTTTAAAATTCCCTTTAAAGGTCTTTCTCCTTCACCTAAATTCCATTCTCTTTAGCAACTATAGCTTCCTATTCTTTCTCTATACCTCTCTTCTCTCCCCGTTCCGCTCCCTGTTCTCCTTGGGCTCTATCCATTATTTTAGAGGCTTAAAATAATTTTTTAAGTTATAGTAATAAATATAAATGACATGAAATTTGTTATTTTAATCATAAAATTCAGTAGCATTTAGTATTATTCACAATGCTGCATGACCATCACTATTAACTACGTCCCAAACTTTCAACACTCCAAACAGAAACAGTGCCTATGAAGCTCTAACTCCTTACTCCCTCTCTGCCCCCTACCTCCCAGCTGTAACCTCTCATCTGCTTTGTGTCTAAGAATTTCCCTAGTCAAGGAACCTCATCTAAATAGAGTCATATAATAATTGCCCTTCCGTGCCTGGCTTCTTTCACTTAGCATAGTATTTTCAAAGTTGATCTGTGTTGTAGAATGGCTCAGAACTTCATTCCTTTCTATGGCTAAATAATATCCTGATGTGTAGTCTGCCATATTTTATTTATCCATTCATTTGTTAATGAACATTTGAGTTGTTTCTACGTTTTTGCTACCATGAGTAATGCTGCTGTGAACACCCATGTCAAGTTTCATATGCATACGTACATTTTAATTTCTCTTGGGTACATAACTACCCAAGCAGAGTTCCTGGATCATTGGTAATTCTGTTTAACATCTTGAGAAACAGCCAAACTGGTTTTCCTGAGTGGCTGCACCATCTTAGATTCTCAACAGCAGTATGTGAGGATTCCAATTTCTCCATGTTCTCTCCAACACTTGATGTGACATTTTAAAATTATTATTGTAGCCATCCTAGGCTCTGTCCATTTTTAAAAAGATTTATTTTATTTATTTATGCATACAAGAGCTGAGGTTTAGGCCAGAGGTGCTGGGGGGGGGGCGGTATAGGATTCACCAGAGACAGAGTGGGATGCAGAACAGGCAGATCTACTGAAATACACTGCTGAGGGGAGCAGAGAGGGAGACAGGAGAGGTCTGCTGTGCCTTTGGGTAGCTCCCTGGCCAGGGATTGAATGCATGCTGCAGTGGCTGTGGATAGCTTCATAGTGCTGAGACTTAACCCCTTGCACCACTAGGAGGCCCCCCATTTTTGTTATACAAGGAAAATGGTGTCACTGTGAAAAGAGCACAGCTCTAGGCAGACCTCCAGCTCCACCAGTACCAAATGGTATGAATTGTACAACTTGATGGACTTCTTAGAGTCTCAGTTTCTCTGCAAAGTGGAGCTAATAAAGCCTGCCTAACTAGGTTGTTTGGGAGGAGTGAACAAAAGGATGCACATAAAACATATAGACTCTAAAACACACGATAGCTATTATTTTCTACTAGAAGGTAAGCTTAGGGAAGGCAGGGATGACTTGGTAGTCACGCTCTTTATTCCGAGTGCCTAGAATAACGTGTGACACTCAGCAGACACTTCAAAAATATCCATGGAATGAATGAATAAAGAATTTCTCAACAGGCAGGAGTATGTGACAACGAGTAAACTGGATAGCGAGGACCCTGTCACTAGAGATTTTCAAGCATGACCCACATAGACACCTGGTGGCAGCTCTGGGCTAGGCCCCCGTGGAGAGACACTGAGATGAAAATAGCCCCGTCCCACCTCAAAGAGCAAAGCTACAAGCTCCCTCCTACACAAGCGCTCCCACAGCGAACATCTGGGCCACGCAGGCTCCTGGCAGAGTGGAGGGGTGGCCAGGGGAGACGGTCAGCCAGGAGTGGGGTAGGGACTTGAGCTGGGGCACCCCTGGACACGTGCTGCCCTGACCCCAGTAAGGCCACCCTGACTGGGGCCGCCTGCCCTCTGCCAGGTACTGCCTGACCGAGAGGGGAAGCGCTGTATGTTCTGTGTGAAGACCGCCACCCGCACCTACGAAATGAGCGCCTCTGACACGCGCCAGCGCCAGGAGTGGACGGCAGGTGAGTGCTGCCAGCGCCTGGGTCCGCCTGGGCCTCAGCGGCCTCATCCGTGTAAAAAGGTGCTGATGACACTACCCAGCGCGAAGCTGGGAGGCAGGACCCTTGCAACTATGAAGGCCCTTTGCGGGCGGTGGGCCGTCTCCAGACCCCTCCTGGGCCCTCCGCATCCGCCCCAGCCCCCTGCTGATCCCCTCCCACGGCCTCCAGCCATCCAGACGGCCATCCGGCTGCAGGCCGAGGGGAAGACGTCGCTGCACAAGGATCTGAAGCAGAAGCGGCGCGAGCAGCGGGAGCAGCGGGAGCGGCGCCGGGCGGCCAAGGAGGACGAGCTGGTGCGGCTGCAGCAGCTGCAGGAAGAGAAGGAGCGGAAGCTGCAGGAGCTGGAGCTGCTGCAGGAGGCGCAGCGGCAGGCCGAGCGCCTGCTGCAGGAGGAGGAGGAGCGGCGCCGCAGCCAACACCGCGAGCTGCAGCAGGCGCTCGAGGGCCAGTTGCGCGAGGCCGAGCAGGTGGGACTGAGCAGCGCGGGGTGCAAGGGGTATCGGGGAGCAGAGGATGTTCCAGTCGAGCCCGGGGCGAGGCCAGATGAGGAAGCCTGTGCAGGCGGGGCTTGGGACGGCCGGGTCTGGTAAATCGTAGCTCTTGGACTTGAAAAATGGGTACCGGACAGAGCCTGTGCCAGGCTCGGGACCTGTGGGAGGGGGAAGGGGCGGGGATGCGAGAACGTGACCGGCTGGGGCAGGAGGGGAGGGACGGTGTGGGGCGGGGCCTGGGCCGAGGAGTTTGGTTCGCTGTAGGGTGGCGTTTGGTTCGCGGGCCTTGACTGGAGGCGGAGCTTGGGTGGCAGGAGCTGCTAATGACTGTGTGTTTGGGGATAAATTTGGGCCGAGGCTGGACTAGGTTGGACTAGACCTGATCTGAGTTTACAGCAAAACCAGTTTTGGGAATGCAGAACAAACGGCATGCAGAGGCAATTAAATCTAGGATTGAAGAGGTCAAAATCTGGGGTCAGAGACACTAGATTCAACCCCAGCTCTGTCTCTGAAGAGCAAGTTTCTCAGCCTCTCTGTACCTCAATTACCTATCAGTGACATGTTGATACTAACAGAACTTTACTCATGGAAGTGTAGTGAGGCTCAAATGAGACATTTTCATTTGTTACAACAGTTATTACAGTCACCCCTTCCTAATGCTAACCTTCATAAAAATATATTTTATTATATGTACTAATAATTATTAAATCTTGTGCTAGGAAGAAGGTGACTTGAGCCCCATCCTGCCATGTCGCGTCTTCATTTACTGAGCATTATCTGAACTAGTCAGGCTCTCAGAAAGGGATCAGGTCGGGAAACCTGGACATGAAGGAACTCCCCAGACCCTCACTTGGAGAGGCTGGCTGAGGCAGCCTAGCAGAGGCCTGGGGAAGGGCAGCAAACCTACTGCCTCCTTCCCCTGTGCCCTGTTGACCTGGCTCTGTGTGCCTGCCCAGGCCCGGGCGTCCATGCAGGCTGAAATGGAGCTGAAGAAGGAGGAAGCGGCCAGGCAGCGGCAGCGCATACAGGAGCTGGAGGAAATGCAGCAGCGGCTTCAGGAGGCCCTGCAACTGGAGGTGAAGGCGCGGCGAGACGAAGAGTCTGTGCGCCTAGCCCAGACCAGGTAGGCCTGAGGGAACCCTTAGGGGTCTCCTCCTTGACTTGCCCACCACCCCACTTGCTGAGCACCCTCAAGGGCCTTGGCACTGGCTGACATAGCACACACCCTGCAGACTGCTGGAGGAGGAGGAGGAGAAGCTGAAGCAGTTGCTGCTGCTGAAGGAGGAACAGGAGCGATACATAGAGAGGGCGCAGCAGGAGAAGCAGGAGCTGCAGCAAGAGATGGCAGTTCAGAGCCGCTCCCTGCAGCAAGCCCAGCAGCAACTGGAGGAGGTGCGGCAGAACCGGCAGAGGGCTGATGAAGATGTGGAGGTGAGGCCTGGGATGGGATGGGATGGAGTCTGCGGGGCCAGTACCTTCAAGTACAGGCTCTGGAGCCTTCGCTAAAACCCTGACTCCATCATTTCTGGCCGTGTGCCCACCGGCAAATTGCTTAAACTATTCTTTCCAGCCCCTACCTTGCTATTCCTGGACTTTGACCTCATCAGAGCCTGAATCTCTCAGAAAAGGCATTTTTTTGTTTTGTTTTTATTTTTATTTTTAAAAAGATTTATTTATTTATTTATACAAGCACTGGGTACAGTCAGAAGCGCGGGAGGGTGAGAGAATTCACCAGAGCCAGAGCGGGGAGCAGAGCAGGCAGAAGGACCGAAGTACACTGCTGAGGGGAGCAGCGGGCGGCAGGAGAGGTCTGCGCGCCATGTGGGACCCTCCTCCGGTGGCCGGGGAGCAGCCGGGGATCGAACCAGCGCTGTAGAGCTGCGGGGCAGCTTTGAAGCCCAGGGCTCAACTGCTGTGCCTCCGGGGAGGCCCTGTTTTGTTTTTGTTTTTGTTTTTTTAATTTTTAATGTTTTGTTTCTATCAGTTGTGATTATTTTGTTTTGCATTATTGGCTTACTTGGTCATTGTAAAAAATTGGAACACAGAAATATACAACAGAAAGAAAGCAAATCTCTCTGACTCGCCCACCCCACAACCACCACTAATGACTACTTGAGCACTGGAGAAGAGGGTTTTGTATTAGGTCCTGGAGAAGTAGCACGATGCAGTAATTTAGAGCTCAGTGTGTGTCCCTGAACAAGTTGCTTGTCCTCTTTCAAACCTGTTTGTTGTTAACTTCTGCTTTGCAGGCTAAGTAAGATAACAAACATACTTAGCACATCTTAGCTGCTTAATAAATGGAAACTATAATTGTTATTAGTTTTTAAAGATTTATTTTTTATTTATTTATGCATACAAGAACTGGGGTGTAGGCCAGAGATACGGGGGTGAGAGGATTCACTGGAGACAGAGTGAGGAATAGAACAGGCAGACTGACTGAAATACACTGCTGAGGGGAGCAGCGGGTGAGACAGGAGGTCTGCCATGCCATGTGGGAAGCTCCCTGGCTGGGGATCGTACTCAAGCTACAATGGCTGAGAAGAGCTTGATAGTGCTGAGACTTTAACCCCTGAGCCACCAGGGAGGCCCTGGAAACTATAATTATTCTTGACCCTTTGGGAGCCCATAAGCCCCCTGAACTTAGATGCCAGCTCTATTCATATGATAACTTTATAAACATACATACATACATGGGTTTTTCTGGAAAGATGGCCTGTGTCAGATTCTAAGGGGCCTGTGAATCTGAAAAAGTCTTGGATGGTGCTTCTGACCTCCACCCACCCCCCCACCCGCTGCCCCTACAGGCTGCCCAGAGGAAGTTGCGCCAGGCTAGCACCAACGTGAAACACTGGAATGTCCAGATGAACCGGCTCATGCATCCAATTGAACCTGGAGGTGAGATAGGGTGGACCCTGGAGCTCTCCCTGGTGTGGGGAGGGAGGAAGGAGATCCAGATCTCCAGAGCCAGCAGAGCACTAAGGTCAGGAGTTCTCCTCTCCCCAAGGGCTGAGCAACCTATCCCCTTTGTATGCCTGCCTTTTCTCTGCCAGACAAGCGTCCCGTCTGCAGCAGCAGCTCCTTCACTGGCTTCCAGCCCCCTTCACTTGTCCGCCGTGACTCCTCCCTAAAGCGCCTAACCCGCTGGGGATCCCAGGGAAACAGAACCCCCTCACCCAGCAGCAATGAGAAGTCCCTCAACGGTGAGGAGGAGGCTCCCATCCCATCTGCCACCCCTCAGGAAGATAACCTGGACCCAGCACCAGAAGATTAGTCTCTGCTAACCTCTTTTCTCCTCGACCTCGTGCCCACAAGGACCTGGCCACAGCTGGCCTGTGGGAGAGCCTGGCACCAGCAGAAGAAAGAACTGGGGTTCTGGCACCAGGGGCCTAGGCCTTCCAACCATGATGCATGAAATAGTCCATCATGGAATCTGGCTCACTTTTACACCAGCCCCAAGCCCCAGATCACTGAGACAATCTGGGATGCTGATCCTTGAGACCCTGTGCCTTAATCCCCAAGGACCTTCTGCCTTATGTTGGCAGAGAGAATAAACAAGCAAGCCAGGAACCACCTTGCCTCCAGACAGCCACCAAGTTGTGGAGGCACATTTCCAAATAAAAACTGCTCTTGGAATGAATTGCTGATCAGGTCTGCTGTCCGTCTCTCCTGCTACTTCCTCCCTCCTTCCCTTAAGTCCAGTTAAGGGTCTAAGAAGTGAGATATAGGACAGTGGCCAGGAAAGTAGCCACTTACTAACTGGGTGATTTAGTCAAGTTTCTCTACTTCTCTGTGCTTCAGTTATAAACACAGATAACAATAGTGTCTACATTATAGGGTTGGGAGGATTAAGTGGTTGGCATGTGACAAGCAACGTTCATATCATGCAACGGTGCTTATTGCGTGTCTCTTCTATGCCCTGCAATTTCATAGGTGATTTCATTATCATGGCAGCCCTGAGAGGTAGATATTGTTATTCTCATTTTACATATGGAGAAATTGAGGTTCAGAGAGGTTAGGTTACTTGCCCAACCTCTTGCCCAACTTGCTTCTCTTCACATATGATCTGACTCCTTGACCTTGTTACCTGAAACAGATCTGGGAATCTGGGATGATTTGCTTCCTCCTCTCACTCCCCCTACCCCCATAAAACCCATCATCAAATCCAATAGATTCTATCTCCATACTCTCTTATCTATCCCCCCTTCTTCATCCTCATGGCTACTGCCATGGCTTGGGCCTTTCTATCCTCTACCTGCAAGCTGACCTTTCACTCCTTCTCTATCTTGCTCCAATCTAACCCATCTCCAAGTCCAACTGATTGGACTTTCTCCATCACTCTCAAATCCTCCCTTTGGGGCCATTTCTCATGGCCACTGCCTTACTCTAGCGCTTGTCATCTTTCAACCAGATAAGAGCATTAACTGGGTCTTCTTGTTAATCCTTCTCCCCGTGACTATCTGAATGGGATTTCTAAGATACATGTCTGCCCTTCATCCTTCTGCTCTCCAGTTTCTCAGTGGTACCCTGGACAGTCAAGTTCACATTCCCAAGTGTGGCATGAGACTCACAACAATCTAGCTCAGAATGAATGGATTTCTATGCCTTTGCCTTAAAACTCTCTATGCCTTTGCCTTAAAACTCTCTCCTTTTTCTTTCTCTGGGCCTACACACTGGCTGTCCTTTTCATCTCACTCTACATAATAGTAGTCTCCATAACTAAATACCTGTGTTCCTTGAGGTAAGGAATATCTTTTTCAACTCATGTCCCCATTGGCTAGCACAGTGCTTCCCTCAAATATTTGTCGAATGATTTCATGAATGCATAAATTATAAAACAATGACTGGTTGTCACATAACTTAAAAGTGATAAAGTCAGTTTCAAACTCAAGTCTATTCATTTCTTCAATAAATTATTTATTGAGCATTACCAGGTATTGTGCTAGGTGCTGGCTATGTGGCACAGAACAAAGCATGTAAGAGTCCTTGCTCTCCTGGAGCTTATGTGCTGATATCAAAGTTAATGTCTTTTGCAAGTACACAAATCTCTACTGAAAGGAGCTCCCTTACAGTCTATTTAAAATGTCATGAAACAAAGCTCCAAGGTAACAGTGCCTATCTGAGGGTTGGGGAATGAGATTCAAACTCTAAGTGTGGTAGTAATTCAGAATAAAGGAAAGAGTTAAATAGCAGTTGGATTTGAGATGGCCCCTAAAATTTTAAAACGATAAGAAAGAGCCTCCCTGGTGGCTCAAGGGGTAAAGTCTCAGCACTATGAAGCTATCTGCAGCCACTGCAGCATGAGTTCGATCCCAGCCAGGGAGCTACACATATGGTGTAGCAGATCTCTCCTGTCTCGCCTGGTGCTCCCCTTAGCAGTGTATTTTAGTAGATCTGCCTGTTCTGCTCCCCACTCTGCCTCTGGTGAATCCTCTCACCACCACCCCCTCCCCCGGCCTGCACCCCAGCTCTTGTATGCATAACTAAATAAAATAAATCTTTAAACAAAAGAGCTAGGATTTTAGTTTGTTTAAAAAAAATAACGGTAAGAGAGCATAAGAATAACAAGCAGAAAGAAGCAGGATACATTGATGGGTACAAGAAGTCTGGATTCTGGAATTTGAATGGGAGGACACCACTCTCATTGAAGTGGGGAACCTCTAGGTACAGGAGTTTAAAGATCATCAATTTGCAGATCTTGAAATTCCAAGTGTTCTTTTTACCAAAACTGCTTTCCTCTTTTACAATTTCACGTTTCCTACCTTAATTGTTATTATCTTTCTATAGCAAACTACTCACATTTGAGTCTTAACATTCCTGGAACATTAAACAAAACAACAATATGAAATCTTGATATAGGACTGTGGGTGCTGGGAAAGCAAATGGTTCAAAAGCTGAACAACTTTGGAGATTAAAAAAAAGAAGAAAAAAAAAGCTGAACCTACAAATTCTTTTTGTTTTCAAGTCAGGAGGTTTCCAAATCTTTGCTTTTGAAAACTGCAAAGACTTGATTGCACTGTCAGCTAAAAAAACATTAACAGTATTTTCTATAATAGAGCTCTGTGATTAGTTTTGGCAAACAACTTAGAATCAGATACCATAACTACATAAAAATTCAATTCCCATTTACTTATTTATGTGAACAGGGTTATCAGCTTAAAAATGAAAAAACAGGACTAGAATTAATGCTGAGTGCAGTCTCATTCTATGAATAAGTAATCAACTATGAACATCTGAACTACCTGGGGAAGAAAGTAGCCCAGTTATTTCATTAAGATATTTCCAATGTGAATTAACCCAACAAAAGAGGTAAAGGACCTATACAAAGAAAACTATAAAACACTGTTAAAAGAAATAGAAGAAGACAAAAAGAAATGGAAAGACATCTCCTGCTCATGGATAGGAAGAATTAACATTATCAAAATGGCCATCCTACCAAAAGCCATCTACAGATTCAATGCTATTCCAATAAAAATTTCAAAGAAATGGAACAAATATTGATGAAATTCATATGGAGCCACCAAAAACCCCGAATAGCCAAAGCCCTCCTGAAAAAAAAAAGAAGGGAATGGAGGCATCACACTCCCAGATTTCAAATTATACTACAAAGCCATAATAATCAAAACTGCATGGTATTGGAACAAGAACAGACACACGGACCAATGGAACCAAATAGAAAATCCAGAAATAAACCCACAGATTTATGGTCAACTAATCTTTGACAAAGGAGTAAAGAATATGCACTAGAGCAAAGAAAGTTTGTTCAATAAATGGTGCTGGGAAAACTGGGTCGCTACATGCAAAAGAATGAAGCTTGACTACTACCTCACACCATGCACTAAAACCAACTCAAAATGGATTAAAGAACTAGACATAAAATCTGAAACCATAAAATATATAGAAGAAAATATAGACGAAACACTACATGACATGCACCTCAAAGACATGTTTACAGACACATCACCTAAAGCAGTGATAGTGAAGGCAAAGATCAACAGCTGGGACTACATCAAATTAAAGAGCTTCCGCACAGCAAAAGAGACAATAACCAAAACAAAGAGAAACCCCACCGACTGGGAGAAAATTTTTGCACACAACACTAATGACAAAGGACTGTTCACAAAAATCTACAAAGAACTGATGAGAAAACTTCATCAAAACAACAAAGAGCTTCAACAAAAACAAAGAAAATAATCCAGTCCAAAAATGGACAGAAGAGCTAAAAAGAAAGTTCTCCAAAGAGGAAATGCAAATGGCCAGCAGGCATATGAAAAAATGTTCAACATCACTTGTAATCAGGGAAATGCAAATGAAAACTACCATGAGATACCATCTTACACCAGTGAGAATGGCACATATTAAAAAAACTAGCAACGGGCCTCCCCGGTGGCGCAGCGGTTGAGTGCTGGGTTGCGAAGCTGCCCGCAGCCTCTGCAGTGCCGGTTCGATCCCCGGCTGCTCCCCGGCCACCGGAGGAGGGTCCCACATGGCGCGCAGACCTCTCCTGCCGCCCGCTGCTCCCCTCAGCAGTGTACTTCGGTCCTTCTGCCTGCTCTGCTCCACGCTCTGGCTCTGGTGAATTCTCTCACCCTCCCGTGCTTCTGACTGTACCCAGTGCTTGTATAAATAAATAAATAAATCTTTAAAAAACAAAAAAAAAAAACAAAAACTAGCAACAACAAATGTTGGCGAGAATGTGGAGGAAAAGGAACTCTCCTGCACTGCTGGTGGGAGTGCAAACATGTCCAACCACTATGGAGAGCTGGGTGGAGATTCCTCAACCTACTAAAGATAGAGCTTCCATATGATCCAGCAATTCCACTCCTAGGTATTTACCTAAATGACACAGAAACATTAATTCAAAAGGGCACCTGCACCCCTATGTTTATAGCAGAACTATTTACAATAGCTTAGCTATGGAAACAACCCAAATGCCCAAAAATAGATGACTGGATCAAGAAGAGGTGGTACATATACACCATGGAATATTACGTAGCAATCAAAAAAGATAAACTCATGCAATTTGCAGCAACATGGATGGAGCTAGAGGGGATCATGCTCATCGAAATAAGCCAGAAAGAAAAAGAAAAATACCAGATGGTCTCACTCATAGCAGGAATTTAGAAAAGCTACATAAGGGACCAGGAGAAAGACTAATTATAATAAAGTAAAAATCAAAATCAACAAGCAACCATAAACCAGAGACACACTACCGGTGGGAAAAGGAAGATTAGGGTCAAAATAAGGGGGGTGCAATTGTATGGGGAATATAACCAAAATGAAAAGGCATACATTGTGCAAAATGAAAAATGATGTAAGAATTATGTAAAAGAAAATATTAAAAAATAAAATAAAATAAATTCAATTAAAAATATATTTCCAATATATTTTTGCATTTATATTTAATATTCATAAAATTCATGTTTGTGTTGTTTCCACCAATCAGATATTATTATTATTATTATTATTATTATTATTATTATTATTTGCCACTCAAACCAGAAGAAAAGTTTTCACTTAGAGGGCCTCCCCGGTGGCGCAGCGGTTGAGCGCTGGGTTGCGAAGCTGCCCGCCGCCTCTGCTGCGCTGGTTCGATCCCCGGCTGCTCCCCGGCCACTGGAGGAGGGTCCCACATGGCGCGCAGACCTCTCCTGCCGCCCGCTGCTCCCCTCAGCAGTGTACTTCGGTCCTTCTGCCTGTTCTCTCCCCGCTCTGGCTCTGGTGAATTCTCTCACCCTCCCGCGCTTCTGACTGTACCCAGTGCATGTATAAATAAACAAACAAACAAACAAACAAATAAATAAAACATGCCTCTATAAAAAAAAATTAAAAAAAAAAAAGAAAAGTTTTCACTTAGAGCTTTAAAAAGCTGAAACCATTTAACCATTTTAACTTACATACATATTTTGGTTGCAGAGACTTGTGATGTAGCAATCAACAAAAGACTCTCAAACAAAAAAATACATTACATTAAGATGATATTTTTGAGGGGGAAATGTAATGGAAGTACAAGGAGAAAAAGAGACAATGTAAAATTTGATTGCTAAAGAAAAACATTTTTTTTAAAAGATTTATTTATTTATTTATACAAGTACTGGATACAGTCAGAAGTGCGGGAGGGTGAGAGAATTCACCAGAGCCAGAGCGGGGAGCAGAACAGGCAGAGTGACGAAATACACTGCTGAGGGGAGCAGCGGGCGGCAGGAGAGGTCCGCGCGCCATGTGGGACCCTCGCCGGTAGCCGGGGATCGAACCGGTGCTGCAGAGGCTGCGGGCAGCTTCACAGCCCAGCGCTCAACCGCTGTACCACCGGGGAGGCCCAGAAAAACATTATTTTTAAGATGGATGGTGGTGAGTATTAAGTCATTATGGGATAAGAGTATTAGTCAGTACATATAAAAGTGTAATAAAAAAGTGTAATATAGCAGTTTTATATTAAAATATCAATATTTATAAAATAGCAGAAATTATATCCATCCTCTGTAACTACTAAGTTTTAAACTAATGATGAGGGCCTCCCAGGTGGCGCACCGGTTGAATGCTGGGCTGTGAAGCTGACCACAGCCTCTGTAGCGCTGGTTCGATCCCCGGCTGCCCGCGAGGGTCCCACATGGTGCGCAGACCTCTCCTGCCGCCCGCTGCTCCCCTCAGCAGTGTATTTCAGTTGATCTGCCTGTTCTGTTCCCCACTCCGTCTCTGGTGAATCCTCTTACCCCCTGACACCTCTGACCTGTACCCCAGTTCTTGTATGCATAAATAAATAAATCTATAAAAAAGAAAGAAAGAAAGAAAAATAACTCCTTTGTCCTTTCCAACATCCTGGACAAAGGAGAATGTGTCCAATCTCTGATGCCCTCTGAGATACCCATAAACTCTGGGAGCCACTTGGACAGCCCAGTCATGGTTTTACCAGGTCCTCTCTGCATGACTTGTATGTGAAGAGAGTAGGGAGGTGGAACGACCACTGTAGCGTTGCTAGGATATGCAAGGCATCTCCTCTTCAAGAGCAGCATCTACCCAGGCTCATCAAATGCCAGCTAAAAGGCGCCACTATCGCCCCTCTGTAGTAGGTGAGAGAGGGAAGAGAGGATGCTGAGGAGGCTGGTATCTGTTGGCTAGGGAACCCCCCCACTTGCTGGCTGGAGCCTGAAACAGCCACCGCAGACACCTGAATCTCATAGCAGATCTAGCCTTCTTATTCTGCAGTGTTTACTTGTATTTCAGTTACACTGTAACTAGGTATCACATTGGGTTTTGGTAGCTGAGATCTCAGCCTAGCCTGGAAAAAGTTGCAGAAGTTTTGCAGGGCCTAACTTTTCCTTCCTTGAGTTGTGCCTGTGGGCAAAGCTGTATTAATCTGGATTTGTGATTCAAGTAACAGAACTGACCCATTTAAGTACAAAAGGAAATTTATTAAGAAAGTATAGAGGGGCCTCCCTGATGGCACAATGGGTTAGTAGTGAAGCTATCCTCAGCCACTGCAGCACGCACGAGTTCTATTCCCAGCCCTCCAGGGAGCTGACCCACATGGTGCAGCAGACCTCTCCTGTCTCGCCTGCTGCTCCCCTCAGCAGTGTATTTCAGTCAATCCACCTGTTCTGCTCCCCACTCTGTCTCTGGTGAATCCTCTCACCTCCTGCACCTCCGGCCTGCACCCCAGCTCCCTGGCCGGCTGGGGATAGAACTCATGCAGTGCTGCCGTGGCTGTGGATCGCTTCATAGTGCTGAGACTTAGCCCCTTGTGCCACCTAAAATAAATCTTAAAAAAAAAAAAAGAAAAAGAAAGTATAGAGGATTCTATATGGAAGGGAGCCAGCTTGGAGGTTGGGTAGTCAGGAAAAATACCCAAAATCATGACACACAACAGTTTTTAGGAAGATAACCCAACTGCCACCTCTGACTATAGACTCAGCTGCTTCCATGGATGACATCACTGGTGCTGGATGCTGCTCTTATACTGCCGCTGCTTACAACCAGAAATTGGGTGCACCAGAGGATAGAACTTTTAGCTCAGTATGAGGAAGGTTTTCGTTTTTTAAAAACAAAGTTTCCATTATGAAAAAAATGCCAAAATAAAAAAAATATAAAGATAATAATTCAGGGGCCTCCCTGGAGGCCTAGAAGTTAAGTCTTAGGTCTATCATCACTGTGGTCTGAGTTTGATCCCCGGCCAGGGAGGTGACACACATATGGTGCAGCAGACCTCTCCTGTCTCACCAGCTGCTCCCCTCAGCAGTATATTTCAGTAGATCTGCCTGCTCTGCTCCCTACTCTGTCTCTGGTGAATCCTCTTACCCACCCCCACTCCTGCCCCCGCACCTCTGGCCTAGACCCCAGCTCTTGTATGCATAAATAAAAAAAATAAATAAATCTTTAAAAAAATAAAAATGAAATGAAGTGAAAAATAGATCTTAACAGTGCCCTTAGAATTTCTTTTAAGGCAACAGCGGCCTTTATTAGTGGAAAGAAGCCTCTTAAGAATAGAAAGCAAGGGTCTCCCTGGTGACGGGAGGGGTTAAGATGCAAATTATGAAGCAATTCGCAGCCACTGCAGCACAAGTTCGAGAGCCTCGCTGGCAAGGGTCCACATGGCACAGCAGACCTCTCCTGACTCGCCTGCTGCCCCCCTCAGCAGTGTACTTCTTGTTGGTCTGCTTGTTCTGTCCCCCACTCTGCCTCTGGCGGATCCTCTCACCCCCCCACCCCTGGCCTGTACCCCAACTCTTGTATGCATAAATAAATAAATCTAAAAAAAAAAGAATAGAAAGTAAGATCTTCAGGTTTGAGTGTGTTGCCAGGAAATCTAGCAGTTAAGAGATATCTTAAGATGTGTCTTTCAACTTGGAAAACCAGAGGAATTCGTATTTTTCTCTGGAGAGGGTGACATAGAGGAGAATATGGTGGGGCAGCTCCTAAAGAGTAAAGGGCCAGTTAGAAAAGCTCTGTGCGGGGTGTGGAAAGGACTTCAAAGACAGTCTGATGAGTAAATTTAAACGATAATGCATCACGTGACCCTGCTTCAGGGCCCAGAGCTTCACACTGTGTGGTATACTTGTGAATCCTTTGTGTAGGAAGATATGGGCCATCCTCAGGAAGGTTGAGTTTCATCTCTACATTTCTGAACTTTGGGACTGCAATACCCTTGTACAACCACAAGACTAGAGGCAGAGCTATTTAAAATAATATAAATCCCCAGAAATTTGCAGAAACCCATTGTTGACTTCAACCTCGAAGGGCAAGAGGGTGAAGTCTGAATTACAAAGTAATGCACATTCGTTTCAAAAAGTAGAGGGAAAAAGAGAAGTAGGAGAAAAATCACTCATAGTTGTACCATCCAGATATTTGAGGGTGTGGCCTGAGGAGAGTACGCAAGAAGGGAGGGGTAATCTTTACTCTAAAGACGGTGGAGAAGAGGGAATTACCCATTGATCATATTCCTATGAGTCAAGTTCCGCTCCCCACCAGCTGACTAACTTCTTCCACCAGGCTGCCTCCCCCTCTGCTCGGTACCTTTTTATGGCACCTCGGGCCAGCATGGGGTAACAGGCTCCGAAGCCCCACGTCAAGAAGTGAGAACAGAATTTTCTACAACAGCAGGGAGGATACTCCCCATGTAGGTGGGCGATTAGATAAGAACACGGGAAGATAGGTAAGAAGTTCAGGACCATAAATTTCCAGCTGGAGAAGTGTCGAGGGAGCACATGCCCTTTTACTAAAATTACAGGCAGCGCAGTCTCCTCCAGCTCCAGTGGAGTCGGGTTCTAGCCTCAGCATTGCTTCTTACTCCAAGTCACGCACCTAGTCTCACCGTTTCTGCACTGGGAGGCTGAGGGCGTTGTCCTAGCTGACCTCTGAGCTGCCTTAAACCCCCTTTTGTGACACTCGCCAGACTCGCTGTACCGGCCCTGGCGCTCCCTCCCAGCTCCTCCCTCAGCCGCGGCGCCCGCGTCGGGCACCAGAGGGCGCTGCAGGCGGGCCCAGGGGAGCGTGCGGTGGGCGGAGACGCAGCAGCAGGGGAGCCCCCGGGAGGCGCGGTGATTGGCCGCGAGCTGGGCGGAAGGGGGCGTGGAGAGAGGAGGCCCGAGCTGCGCGGTGACGTCGCGCTGGCAGGGGCGGGGCCGGGTCGCGCAGCGTGTGACGCCGCGGCCGCCGCGGAGCTGGGGATTAATGGGAAAAGTTTTGGCAGAAGCCGGAGGATCCTGCGGAACCTGCGGGACGGCGGCGGCGGCGCGGGAGGCCGCCGGGACAGGTCAGTCCGGGGCGCGGGAAGCGGGTAGGCGGGTCGTGGGGGAAAGCGGCGGGCCGGGGCTGAGGCGGCCGAAGGGACTGGGGCGCCAGGCCCGGCGGGGAGTGGGGCGGGGACGGCCGGGGTCCGCGGACAGAGCCCTTGACGCTTCCAGATGCCCCTGCCGGGGCCGGCCGGCGGTCACCGCTCGCTGTCGCCGGCTGCTCTTCTGGCGCGCCGCCCCGCTGTCCCTGCGCCCGCAGCCCTGTGCAGCTCCATCGCTGTGGAGCCCGCACCCGGGCCTCCCCGCCCCGACTCTGTGTCCCCTCTTGGGCCTCGTGGCTCCGTCTCCTTCCACTTCTGTGTCCTGATAGCCCGGTGTCAGGGTCAGGGGCTCTCCCACTCCTCACCCTGCCTCTGACCTCGTCCTTCAAGCCTTCTCTGGTGTCCCAAATCCGTGGTCCTCTTTCAGCAGGGTCTCCTTGGGGGATCCCCTCTGCCCTTGTTCCCTTGTCCCCTGCCGTCGTCCTCCGTCCTTGCCCTCAGTCTCTGCTCTCTTTTTCTTCCCTCTTCCCTCCTTTTCCCGTTGCCTGAGCTCCCTCAAATATTCTGGCTCCCCATCATCTTCAGGGGGTTAGACTTTTCAGTCCCAGCAGGCAATCCCTATCTACCTTTGACTCTCCATGCTGGCATCCCCCCAGAAACCATGTTTTTGCCCCCCTCTCTGATTTCCTTCAAATCAGCCCGGTCCCCTGCATTTCTCCCTTCCCAAATCCCAAGTTCCTTGCTTCTGCTTTAGGGAAAGGCATCAGCTCCACATACTACTAAGCTTTCCCTCGACCTGCAGTTGAGATTGTAGTGGGGTCGAGGTGTTCAACCCCTGATTAAAATAAGGGACTGAATGTCTGAGGTAAATGGGAGGTATGTTTGTGTGGGAGAATTTACTGGGGTGTTGCATCAGTGATGATGGCCAATTTGTAGAGCATTCTTCTAGTCTCAGCTTTAATACTTCCCCTTTATGGGTCTGTTGACTTCCAGGAACCCTTGGGGAGAGACTGGCTGCTGAGTTGGGTGAGTGCCAGGGGTAGCTGGAGGACTGATCCAACTCTATTCCCCTTCCAGGAAACAAGGCTCTGTGTCTTTCCACATTGAAACCATGATACCCTAGCATATCCTTGCCCTCAACTTCTACCCTCCATCTTATCCCCCATCCCAAAGAGCTGATAAAAGTATCGAGAATCTATGCCCCCAGAGAATGCCTGTGGTCCTCAACCTCTTTCCTCTGTATTGACTCCAGAACATTTTTTTTTCTTGTTTGAGTTTTGAAATAGGTTGCTGGCCTGATAGTCCTGGGCCTGGCATCTGTCCCTTTTATTATTGGTGGCTTTTGCCAGCTGCTGATTTTCCCTCACACATCTCTGACCAACTGAATGTGTCAGAGCCTCTGATGTCGGTCACTGGGGCAGTTTCTCCTGGAAGTTCTCTCTCCATTTTCCTTGGGAGCTTAATTTCTTGTGGCTCCAAGAGAGAGGCTGGCACCGAAGTTCTGTTCCCTTTGCCCAGGGTGTAGCAAGGGTGTCAGGCCAGTATCTGCCTGGACAGGTTGTGGGTGCATTACTTAGACTGTCTTAGGAATATAAGTTGCTTCCAGTTACACAGACCATCTTCTCTGGGGGCTAGAGAGCCCACTACCTTTGCAGTGGGTCTGGGTGTTTAACCTGGCCAGATAGCAGGCTCTTTTCAGATACCTTCAATTTGAGTTCTTTTATTTGCTGTTGGTCCCCTAGAGAGATTTTGAGGAAACAACATATCCTTTCTTTCTGCCCACTCTGATCCCGGAGGACGCTGAAAGCGTGACCCACTCTCGTGTTTTGAAATGAAGGCCCGTTGTTTCACCTGGCTTGGGTTTCTAGGTCTCCTCTTTTGAGGATTGTGCTCTGTCTTTGAGCCAGAATTGGACACAGAATTGGCAACCTAAGGATCTTGGTGGAGAGCCAACTGAATCAGCTAGACCAGACTTAGAGTTTTGGAATCCTCTTGTGTACTGACCCTTTTCAGTGAAAGGAATAGCATGGGGGGTGGGGGCGTGACTGAACCAGTTCTCTAATTGGATCGCTGAGCCCCCTCTAAGCAGCACTTGGGTGGGGGGGGGGGCATTGGGTAATTTTTTTTCCAATTTATTTTATTCATTTATTTATGCATACAAGAACTGGGGTCCAGGCTAGAAGTGCAGGGGGTAAGAGGATTCACCAGAGACAGAGTAGGAGCAGAACAGGCAGATCTACTGTAATTCACTGCTAAGGAGAGCAGCAGGCGAGACAGGAGAGATCTGCTGAGCCATGTGGGTCAGCTCTGGTGGGGGATCGAACTTGTGCAGCAGTGGCTGGCAATAGCTTCATAGTGCTGAGACTTTAACCCTGCGTCACCAGGGAGGCCCTTAGTGGGTCATCCTAATGAAGTTGAGGTTGCGTTTTTGCCAGTAATTTAGTCCATTTTCTGACTTGCGAAAAGGAATTCACTTGTTTTGTTGAGCAGTTTGCTGCTCCTCTCACTTTGCTTACCCATTACTAATACTCTGCAGAGGGGCCAGCTATGCAGGGCTTGACATGGTCAAGCCCAGTCCTTGCCAGGTAGTTCCATTCTTCTGAGTGGGTAGTCACGTTTATCAATTACCAGAGTTCCCACCTAACACTTTTTGCAAATCCTGGGTCAGCCTGCCTCCTCTTCATAAGTGTGTGCAGACCCCTGACATGAACTAAGTAATGAACCACTTTTTTGTTGTCTGCCTTTCTCCTTATGTCTCCATCGCTGTTTTCTTCCTTCTTTGGTGCCTGCCTCAGCCTATTCAGGAAGAATTGTCCTTACTCAACCTTCCAACTCCACCTGTGATCCCTCAGACCCTTTCCCAAGGGCCTGGTGCCAGTGTTGGGCACTCACCCGGGAAGGTAGTAGCACTCTGCTTTGAATAGAATGCAGCTGTCCTGGCTGTTGTGCAAGCTGCCTTAGGGCCTGCTGATCCTGGCAGGTCCTGGGACAGTGTCCTCTCTCAGGAGTTAGACCTGTCACTTCTTAAGGCTTCAGCCGTATCCTGTCACCAAGACTCATGTCCCAGGGTGTCCTTGCTGGCTGGGAAGCTAAACTGTTGACCCTTCCTTCAGTGCTGTTGTTATGGCCTGGAAATGCTAGGAGCTGCCCCACTGCCCAATATTGTCCATGGTGGGAATGCTCTCTTTTCCTCCCTACCCAGCATCTCTATGGACTTTGTCCTGCTAGGCCCTTGCTTGTGTGTGTCAGAAGTTTGATGCATAATGCCCTGTCTGCATCATGTTATCCCTTCAGCAGCTTCTTGGAGATGGGTTGATGTCCCTGAGCATTTTTCTGTGCCTTTGGATCCAGGGGAAGGAGCTCCTTGCTGCAGCTGAATTCCACAGAGTCAGAGGAGAGGTCGACACTTGCTTAAGCATGGCAGGGGGGAAATAGCCCTTGCATCAGGTTTTAGGCATTGAGTGCCCTTCCTTGGCAGATGTCTCCTGGCCTTTATACCTCAGATTAGGGTGTGACTTCAGTCTTGTCTCCACGGGCTTTGGTCAAGGAATGGAGCATGACTCAGGGCGTCTCAATTTATGAGTGCCACCCATAGCGGGTGTTGGGCTGCAGCGCTTCACAATGCCAGCTCCTTCTGCCCCTCCCTGGTAAAATCAGCAAAGCTGGTATCTGCTTACTTGGAAATGAGCAGACTACTTCCAGGGTTGGGAAATATTTGCTGACTCAGGCTCAGCGTAACAACTTCTCAGTATGTGTAAGGGAAAGAGGAGGAGCCAGTTTGCCTTAGGAATACTCTTGGAGCCCTGGTGTTTAATTGTATAGATTAGGGCTGCATTTCTTCTTTCTTTTTTTTTTATTAAAAGATTTATTTATTTATGTATACAAGAACTGCAGTGCAGGCCGAGGTGTGGGGTGTGTGAGAGAGGATTCATCAGAGACAGAGTGGGGAACAGAACAGGCAGACTGACTGAAATACACTGCTGAGGGGAGCAGCGGGCGAGACAGGAGAGGTCTGCTGCACCATGTGGGTCTCCTCCCTGGCCAGGGATCGAACTTGTGCTACAGTGGCTGTGGATAGCTTCATAGTTCTGCCTCTTAACCCCTTTAGGGCTGCATTTCTAACTCCTGGTACCTCTCAGCTAAAACTGTTGGGTTTCTTTCTATCCTGCAGTGTTGTATGGTGTGGGCATGCAGGTGGTACTCACACAGTGGCTTCTGCTCACCAACAGATGAGGACAGATGCACCAAAGAGGTAATCTCATTTTCCTCGAACAGGGGTCTCTGACAACAGACTGGCACATCCTAGATACAGGATCCTCTCCTAGCAGATGAAATAATTTCTCTAGAGCTGAATCCCAAATTCTGGGTAACTGTCACTGCATTTGAAACTCTTTACTTGCATACGTTAAGTAATTATTGACTATCTACAGCTAACAGTTTTGGGGGGAGCATTGAGATTTTTATGTTTCTACCTACTAAACCATAAACCTCACAAGGATAGGAACTTGTTTCCTGTTGTGTCTAGGGCAGTGCCTAGCATAGAGGAGAGGCTGAATAAATATTTGTTGAATGAATAAATGAACACATTTTCTTCTCCGCCCATATGGGTACCTGACCACAAAGTGACTGTCCATCATTCTCTTTCATTTATGCAAACATTGAACAGTTTTCAGTGCCTGCTATGTGCCAGACATAATACCGGGCATTTGGGAGATGATAGGTCAAAAAAAAAAAAAAAAAAAACAGATTCAATCCCTGTCTCGTGGGTATGTAGTTTGCTGGTATATTTGAGAGTTGGGCACGATAGATAGAATTGTTTCTTCCATCTCTGCTTGGGTGGTGGGTTCTCACCAGAGGCTGAACAGTGCTTTGGGTGTCCCACTGCTATATCCATATTTGTTCTCAGGACGCCTGACAGATTTTATAAACTCAGAAAGAGAACTCCAGGGAATTTGATGTTCATTGTCCCAACTGTTTGGGAGGCCAGGCTGTGGTGGGGTTCCTGCTGGAGTCCAGGGGAAACACGGGGCTCCTGTCTGATTTGTTTTAATCTCTGAAGCTCAGTGATTCCAGTAGCTGTTTATGGGCTTCACTTCCCTTTCTCTGCCTTTAACACCCTGCGGGTTTTCCTGTTGCCTAACAGGGTGCTGAGCCCATGTGTCTGTCAGGCTGTGGGGGTCAGGTTGTTTGTGGATCTTGCAGGAAGACCTCAGGCAGGGGCCCCTCCTGTTCTCAAACCCATCCCAAGTCCTTTCCTCTGAAGGAAATGTGACAGAGGAAGAAGGGGGGTTGTGAGGCTTCTGAGGTTCCCTGAGAAGGGATGGGGTGGAAGTTCCCCTTGATCAGGGAAAGCTGCTAAGTTGAGTCCATTTGCTTTGTCATTTGTTGCAGCTGCTGGCCATAGTGTTGTCTGTTACGCATGTCCAGAGGTGGTTTATCCAGTTCATTCCTGAGCTTTGAGCTTCCAGTCCCAGCTAGAAGTTTTCTTTCTTAGTTTCCACTGGCAAAGGTGAGGCTATCGCTTTATCAGATTTTTCAGTGTTACTCTCAAAGAGCTGTGGTTTTTTCCAACTTAGTCTTTCCCACCTGAGATACTTTTGTGGGCCAGGTGCCATTACAACCTCTCAAGTGTATGGAACCTAGTTGGGGAGAGAAGATTTTTTTTTTAAAGATTTATTTACTTATTTATGCAAGCACTGGGTACAGTCAGAAGCACGGGAGGGCGAGAAATTTCACCAGAGTCAGGGTAGAGAGCAGAACAGACAGACTAACGAAATACACTGCTGAGGGGAGCAGCAGGCAGCAGGAGAGGTCTGCGCGCCATGTGAGACCCTCACCTGGTGGCTGGGGATCCAACCGGGCGTTGCAGAGGCTGCGGGCAGCTTCGCAACCCAGCACTCCACTGCTGTGCCACCGGGGAGGCCCACGAGAGAAGATTTTTATATTAGAGAACTGGTGGGTACCAAGAACATGATGCTATACAAATGAACTTATTTAGAGGAGCAAGTCACCACTGAAGATTGACTTTGTCTCTGAAGAAACATAGTTTCTCATTTGGCCTTTAGAGAAAGTTGGGTTTTTTGAAGTCTCCTTTAGAATATTGTAAAAGTGATTCTCAAGGTTTGGGCCTCAGGACCTCTTTATATTATTAAAGATCCCTAAAACGTTTGCTTAGCACCTTATCATTAAAATGCAGGAATTAAAACTTACTGATTTATTAATTCATTTACTATAAGAATAGTAAACCGATTGCCTTGATTACAAATGACATTTTTAATGAAAAATTACTTTCAAAACAAAGTTGAGAGGAGTAACTAATCTCTTTTAATGTCTGGTTTAATAGAAGACAGTTGGATTCTCATAACTGCTTCTGTGTTCATTGGACATTGACATATGTTGTTTTGTTTGAAGGATGTGAAAGAAATCTGGCCTCACACCAATATGAAGTTGAGAAAGAGAATACTATTTTAATTGTTTTTGCAGATAATTTTGTGTATTCCTTTTGATACTATACCAAAACTCTCGAGTGGTAGTTTCTTAAAGGTTGGTTGGAATGTAGAGTCTGATACCTTATCAACAAACTTTTCATATTTTTGTGACATTAAAATCCATCTATCTTTTTTTTCTTTAAGATTTATTTATTTATGCATACAAGAACTGGGTACAGGCCAGAGGTGTGGGGGGTGAGCAGATTCAGCAGAGACAGAGTGGGGAGCAGAACAGGTGGATTGACAGAAATGCACTGCTGAGGGGAGCAGCGGGTGAGTCAGGAGAGGTCTGCTGCTCCACGTGGGTAGCTTCCTGACTGGTGTTCAAACTCGTGCGTCAGTGGCTTCATATAGCCTTATAGGTTGCGTCTTAATCCCTTGCACCACCAGGGAGGCCCAAAACCCATCTTTTTTTTTTTTTTTAAATAATTTTTTGGTACAGATTTATTTATTTATTTATTTATTTATTTATACAAGCACGGGATACAGTCAGAAGTGCAGGAGGGTGAGAGAATTCACCAGAGCCAGAGTGGGGAGCAGAGCAGGCAGAAGGACTGAAGTACACTGCTGAGGGGAGCAGCGGGCAGCAGGAGAGGTCTGTGTGCCATGTGGGACCCTCCTCCGGTGGCTGGGGAGCAGCTGGGGATCCAACCAGCGCTGAAAAGCTGCTGGCAGCTTCGCAACCCAGCACTCAACCACTGCGCCACTGGGGAGGCCCAAAACCCATCTATCTTGCACTTTGAATGGCAATTGGGAAATATTGGCTTACTGAGTTATATGGATCTGTAGATGTTTACATATATCTTTTTGCAGTATCACTAAATTATGTTGATCAGTATCACCACTAATCTTATCAGAAAAGCCATCAAATATTGGAGTGCTGTCAAGCTCACAGTGGTGGATGTTTTCCATAATTTGAATTTTCTCTTAAAAGCTTGATTTTTATTGATAACATACTGTCAGGATTTTTCATTTTAAAGATTTTATTTATTTTTGCATAGAAGAACTGGGGTGTAGGCCAGAGGTGCTGGGGGGTGAGAGGATTCACCAGAGACAGAGTGGGGAGCAGAACAGATGGATTTACTGAAACACACTGCTGAGGGGAGCAGCAGGAGAGACAGGAAAGTCTGTTGTGCCATATGTGGGAAGCTCCTTGGCCAGGGATCGAACTCAGGCCAGCTTGGTGGGCCCCAGGGATACTAGCACTGAGACTTAACCCTAGGCCACCGGGGGTCCCCAGGTGTTTTTCTTGAAGTGACAGTCTGCATTCATTTTCAAGAAAAAATCTGCTAAATACCCAAGTCTAATTATTTTTTGTTGTTTTTTAGTGTCCAAACAGGGACATGAATCCCGGACTCTTCAGATTAAAAGAAAAAAATTATAATTTATTAATCTTTGCCAAGTAAAAAATGGTGCTTCATGAAACAAGTGGTTAGTTGAGCTTGTAACTCAAACACTTATACATGTGCTTTTTCTTTTTTTTAAAGATTTATTTATTTTTGCATACAGAGCTGGGGTGTAAGCCTTAGGTGGGGGGGGGTTGTGTGTGTATAAGAGGATTTACCAGACACAGAGTGGGGAGCAGAATAGGTGGATCTAGTGAAATACATTGCTGAGGAGGGCAGCAGGCGAGCCAGGAGAGGTCTGCTGCGCCATGTGGGTAGCTCCCTGGCCAGGGATCGAATTCATGCTACAGTGGCTGCGGATGGCTTCATAGTGCTGAGACTTCACCCCTTGTGCCACAGGGAGGCCCCTACAAGTGCTTTTTCTTGAGACAATCATGTAACACCTATTTTTTTTTGACAGAATATTTAAAAGACATGTACTCAAGGGTTATGATTTTATCAAGTTCATTTTTATTGGTTCATCTAGGAAATTCTTAAATGAAACTGGCACTTTATTATCTGTCATGTTTCTGTGTGTTGACTGGGCACCACTGGGCAGTTCTTGGGACCTCTCACTTTGCTAGAGTCAAATGGAGGCCAGGGATGGAGTCATCCCTCACTCACATGGTTGGTACTTGGTGCTGGCTGTTCACTAGGGTCCCTCCATGTGGCTTCTCAGTGTGCTGTGGGCTTCGCACAGCGTGATGGCTGGATTCTGAGCAGAACATCGCAGACCCAGGCGAACGTGGCAATGTTTCTTTTGACTTAGTCTTGGTCATTTGGGTCAGTTGGACTAGCTGTTGACTGTCAGGTAAAGGAATTTGCACTCGGTATTCTTTGGGCCATTGATAGTTTGGAGCAAGGGATGATTATGTTAATATTGCAAAAAGATGGATTGAGTAGAGAAAGAATGATGGTAGGGAGGTTAAGTAGGCGACTACTGCCATAGTCTAAATGTAATGTAATGCTTTCTGCTATTAAATCTGACTTCCTCTGTTACAGTTAAAATTATTATTGATTTTGACCTATCAGCCACACAGATTAAGTACCCACAACATGGGTGGAATAACAACCTCCCCTCCCCCCGTCTACAATTTAGGACTGCTGATATCCAGGAAGTATTAAAGAGTTAACAAAAGTTAGAAGGCAATTAAATTGTACTTACATATTTATTTATTTTTCATATATATGTGTATATGGATATGTCCTATGTGTATTCATATGGGAATCATGCATCACATTTCTTATATAATGCATACATGTAATAAAAGAACTTTCCAAGCTGGAGTCCTGTGAGAAGGAAACTAAATTTAAGTTTTATTGTCAAAGCACATAAAAAGTTAATCATAGTTTATTCAAAAGTCAAAAGCAGGAAAGACAAAACCTTATGTAATACCACTAAACACTTCATGTGTACTTAGGTTTTACTTTCATAGATCATTAGGAAGAAGGAGGAGGTGACAAATTAAAGAATGATAGGCAGAGGGGTACAGAGCAAGGGAAGGAGGGAAAGAAGGGAGTCTAGAGGGGAAAACAGCAAAAATAAATTTGAAGGAAGACAGTATTGAAGGAACTGCTAGAGGCAGAAAGATGGTTCTTTGTGGGCCAAAGTGTTAAGAAAGAGTTTGTTCCTTCCCTGGGGCCCTGGCTTCTGGGTTTTAGCAATTCCTTGCCTAGTCTCTAAAACTCTTCCTGTCTGTGAAGAGGCCATGGGAAGAGCTGGACTGGATTTGGCATTCTGGGTGAGACTCTTAGCCCTAGTGTTGTGGTTTGGTGATTTAACATCCTGATACTTTATTTTCCTCTCTATAAAGATTAAAACGAACCTCAGAGGCCTCCCCGGTGGCACAGTGGGTTGAGTGCAGCACTCTGATGCTGTCCGCAGCCTCTGCAGCACGGGTTTGATTCCTGGCCAGCCAGGGAGATTCCCACATGGTGTGGCAGACCTCCTTTTGCGCCCGCTGCTCCCCTCAGCAGTGCTTTTGGTCTGTCTGCCTGTTCTGCTCCCCGTTCTGTCTCTGGTGAATCCTCTCACCCTCCCGTGCCTCCGGCCTTTACCCCAGCTATTGTATGAATAAAAAATCTTTAAAAAATAGAAATGAAAAAATAAAGCGAACCTCAGTAAGTACAAGTTTGTTTCCTTCCTGCTGAACTATGTTCTAAGGTGGTGAGCTCAGGGAGAAATGTCTTTCTGAACCAGTTCCTTTTGTGATTTATAGGCTGTGGCATGGGGTCCCAGCCTCAGAGTGGAGAGTCTTTTTTTTCTGTGAAACAGCTCTTGGCATTCTGGACAGTGCATGGCAGCACCTCTTCTTTTTCTTTTGAACCCAGTCTTCAAAGCCTGACTTCTACCCAGCTTTGTCCTTAATTCAGCAGCTCTCCTGAGACCATTACCAAGTTCTCCACAGCTAAAAGTGACACAGCTTTGAAAGAGTTTTCTCATGAGGAGGCTACTGAAGTCAGAAAGGTGTTATGGGAAAATGACCTCTTGCTTAAATTCATTTATATTATATTATATATATTATACTGATAGATATCTAAAAATGGATTTTCACTGCTTTCCTTTGCAATCTGCTGTAGCTCCTTGATCCTTATCACTGCTTTTGGCACTTCCCTTGTACTACAGTTGTGATCTC